TAAAAGCAAGATTACATCTTAGCACTTAAATTCTGAATGATATAAATGATACAAAAATTCAGTCAAAAATACTTAGTTTTAAAAACCACACTATTTCAGTATTTCCAGACATTAAAGGAAATAATTTTATACTTTTTCAATAATTCTCAAATATAATTTAATTCAATCGTATCTAAATTTAGAAGAAGAATTAAGAAATATTTTAAATTTTGCCAATTGCTGTTGCTAGAGGCAAAAGTAGTTTTGGCAAACTTAAAATAACAAAAATTATAAAAGTCTTCACTTGGTCAAGAAACAATTTAAAGCATGATCTCTTTTTAGAATATGAAGAGATAAAGTATGAAAAAATTTATAATTTTACTTCATTATAAAAAAGATTAGGTTATTAAAATGTTGAAAAATTAGCAAATTAGTGCAATAATATTTATATTAATCAATAATGAAATTAATTTTATATTAATTATATTAGCTCAGTGTTATATGCGATTTAGCAAAAAGAAAATTTTCAATGCTTTTCATTTCAAAACTATATATTATTTGTGTCATTTTTAATATATAAAGCTATGATTAAATATCATTGTAAAGAGATATGCTATTATGATTTGAAATAGTCATCTTTAATGAAAATTAAAGTATACAGATATAGTTAACTTTAACTGTGTAATTATATGTAATATATTTTTTCTTTCCTTTCTACATTATTTTATTTGACCAACACAGTATACAGGGTGCCTATTTGCCTCATGTGAAAAAATAGGTAGGCACAGCTCTGGTTATTGTGATACCTATACTGCTCACACATAAAACAAATAAGCTTGACCTTCATATACCCAAATGTCACATCAGGGTCTGCAGCCTTTGAATCAAGGATTAAACTGAATTCCAAATGCCTTTGAAAGCTTTTAATGACAATTATATTTTCTGCCCTTTACCTTTCAATATATTTTCAAAAGTTGGAGCTACATCTCAGCAAAAACTATTCAAAATTCCTATAGATATGTGGGAATTTTTATTAGAGATTATGCACTGGAAGCCGATAATGATACAATTGGTGAACACTGTGGCAAAAAAAAAAAAAAAAAAAAAAAAAAAAAGGAGGGGGGAAGACAGTTCTATATGTTCCGTTCTACGGGGCCGATATATGAAATTCAAATTGTGTTTTCCATGTCTCTAAAACATGGCTTAGGATATATATTAGATTTATATATAGCTTTCTTCTAACATAGGTATTTTGACACAAAATTCAACTTTTCTGAAATAACATACCTTTTTTTTTTCCATATTTCAATTCAATATTCAAATTATGCCTAGATATTAAATTTTGTAATTTTTGGTGAGAAATTTATGGAGAAATTTAAAAATTTATCTTGGCGTATTTTTTTCAGTTTGCTCCAAGAATAATTATTCACTTGGCAAACTTCGTAATTCATAGCAACCTATATTCCCTTTTTTGTTTTTTTCATTGTAGACGAGCAGAAAAAGTCATCGTTCATATTTAGCAAAGTGTGTATTATTGTTTGGCATTGCTATCGCTAAAAATAAATAAATAAATAAATTAAAAATATTTTTTTGCCAAATTTTAAAATGCTTTAATATGTAAATTCATGTTTATCTTAGAAAATTTTTAATAAAAAACTAATTTTTTGCAGGTATGAACACAATTTTTTTTTGAAAAATGTATAAATATTTAGAAATTCAAATTTTAAAAATAAATCACAAAAAATGTGCGAATTATATTTGGATTAAGCGTAAATTTCGAATTCTGGAACACGGAATCAAGCAAAATTAATTAAAAAAAAAGATATGAATAAAATATATATCAAATTCAATTAACATTGAGGAGCTAAAATTTTCAGAGCTAATTTAGCAGTTTGGCATAATTTGAGTCAGAGAATTGAAATATGGAAAAAAATTGGCATGTCATTTCAGAAAAAGTACGATTTTATGTTAAAATACGTATATTAGAACAACGTTATATATAAATCTAATACACATCCTAAATCACGTGTTCGAGACATGAGAAACGCAATTTGAATTTAGTCAATTGGCTCAGTAGAATGAGAGATATAGAACTGTCCCCTCCTCTTTTTTTTTGCAGTGTACATAACAGTTTCTAAAGAAAATGGGAAAACTATTCAAATGGATAACTTATTTGAATCAAATGGATAACTTATTTGAAGAGCGATAACGTTGGTTCTGTACGATATGAAGCAACAACTTAAATCATATGTAATATATTTTTAAGTGAACATCAAAGATCCTGACAAAGATGACATAGCCTCCAAAAGTGATTATTAGTAAATTTCTCAAAAAGCACTGACTAAAGGACACATTACATGATTTACATATTTATAGTATAGATTACTAGCTTTACATATTTATAGTATATTTATAGTACAGATATAAAGTATAGATTGTGTACTGAGAAATCATCATCAAAACATCACAAATACTTACATCAAATTGAAAAACTATCAATAGTTATTCCTGAAATAATTACACTCAAACCTGTTTTTGTGCAGTGGATAGGGACGACATAAAAAAATATATCAACTCCACGAGTAGCTATAAAAATACAGTCATTTAAAGTAGGCTTTTTTCAGTTACCATGTAGTTGGTAACCATTTTTTGCAACACCTGTTATTTCTCTACACGCTTGTATATGTCTCGGTAGCCAGATATACAAAACTGAAGCTCCTTTTTTTATTGATTATTTTATTTTTTTTAATTGATAACTTTATCATTGTGTTCTAACTTGACTGAAATTTTCATACACACAAAAAAATCGCACAAATAAAAATTGCACAAAAACAGGTTTGAGCATATACATTAATTTCAAAATACTTTTTATACAGCGATACATTATGTATTATATTTTTTCATTAGTATAAATGTTTTAATCTATTTTAATGCTTAATAAGAACTATTATTAATAATTTTGCATTACTTAATTAAAACATTTGTTTATTTTTACCATACAGGTTTTTTTCTACAATTTCAGTCATAGGTACTTTTTTTTCTGGTCCAGAGAATGACCATTCAACAACCTCTTGTTTGTACATACTTTTGATAGATACTTCGGCATTAGCTGACCATTAATGATTAGCATCCAACGACCTATTAATGCTCTCTCTTAAGATGAAATATATTTTAACTTCAGCAGACCGATTAAATGGTTTCCCCTTTTGTTTCTTGTCCAGTATCATTTGGTAAATTTTCATAAGTCATTTATTTTCAGCCTTAAGGGGCATTAGCACAGAAAGGCTAATAGTCTCTTACGGGTATTTTGCGTTGGTTCACTATAAATGTCCATTTAACTTTTCCATTTGTTGCTGCCAAATATTAGAGCCCTGCAGTATATCTAAAGAAATTAAGATAATGAAAAATCTACTGAATATATGCATCTTTCTCGCACTTTGAAAAAACAACAGTACCTAGACATGCCTTAACATGGTTAAATAAGAAGGAAAGTCACTATGCTTTCTTATTTCAAAATAATATTATATATTACTGCAATCCGTTTGCTTGAATCGTATCCTATTTTAGCTCTTTGTTGGTACCACACAGTTTCATTTTATATCTTCCATTACTTGAAAAGAGTTTTATTAACATCCAATAAAAGTGTTCATAAAGGAAAGAGTACGGTTGTTTCAATTTCAGTGGACCTAGATTAATACATTGATTGCCATGGGGCAAGTGCTTATTCTAACCCTAGATGCCCTGTATGAGTTACCTTGTACCACTTCTTCTACATACCGCTAATGTGCATTGTTCATATGTGCAAAAACTGTTAGCTATTGCTGCATGAAACAGAAAAAAAGCTTAGTTTCAAATAATTCCCATATGCATCATCACCACACTAAATATGTTACATAAAATAAAAGTAACTGAAAAAGAGTTAGAATATGCAAATATGTGGGTGGATTCAGAGTTGGAGGCTTTTCTTGCAGACAATTCAGGTATCTATGCAAATTATATGCAATTTTGAGTTTACTCAAAAAAAAAAAAAAAAAAAAGGTTAAAACAGTTTTTCTAGAAAATGGTCTGTTGTATTATTTTATATGTAAATAAATTAATTTTTTTAATTATTATTTCTAACCATCAATATATTTCACTGTTCTTACTCCAAAGTCAGTAATACATTAACATATACACACTCACTGGTGATAAATGAAATGCTCCTTATTTCTTGGCAAAATACTACTTGATGGAAGAGAATGGATTGCTTCTACTTTATTTCTACATGAAATTGGTAAATGCATGGTGGAAATTGCAGTAAAAATTAACACCAGATAAACTAATGTTGTCTTCAGGAAAATGGTTATCCCCAAAAATCACAAAATGTAAATATGTGTTAGCTTTGATCAGTCTGATATTGACACTGAAATAAAGAATACTTGTAAATAAAATCCCCATCTCCCCAGCCCAAGAAGAAATTTAAAAAATTACGTCTTTCTAAAACATTCCAGAGCAACTTAGACTCAAAAGAAATCAAAATTACAGATTGTGTTTATTAATGGTATATCAGCAGCTGTCAACTAACTCAGTCATCTTTTCTTTTAATATTTAAGATATGATCAATTATGGTTTCTGAAACAGCATTTTAAGTATGGAATTTTCAATACCAATACATTTCACACAGGAATTTAAACTATGTTATTCAATCAGTTAGCAAAACCATTAATAGACCATTAACAGACCATAATTCAGAAAAGATTGCATACAGCAGTTTGTCATCAATTATTTAAGATAGTAACAATTATGCCATCAAATTAAATTAAGGCCATTTATCAGATGATGATATTTATAACATACCATGATTTATAATCTGATAGTGTTAATATATTTTTGACAATAATAAGTGTAACAGATCCCCTGAAATTTTAATATTTTCATACAAATTTCTTGCAAAAGAATAATTTTATCACTATACAAATCTTCAGATCAGTTTATAAGAAATAAATTTGTGTGCACAATAAATAATTTATACCTAATGACATAAAGTAATAAAGATTTCAATTTTATTTTAAAAATATTACGAGCTTGTTTAAAAAAAAAGAACAAAAGATGAGAAAAGTCTTTATGTACACTATAGAACAAAAATTGTATATTTATACAACATACAATAAATGCAGATTAAAATGTACGCAGCCAGCTTAAATCAAGCAATGTAAAATTGTCACAACTATGAAAACTTGAAACATCAAAATTATCTACATCAAACACAAGTGAGATGTTTCAAACAGGAAGACAAAACATCACAAGTTATAGGTTGACATCTCGGTAAAAAAGTTTTTACTTTTAAATGAAAGACTTGATGACAAACATCAAATATGAAAAATTTTCTTAGTATTTCACCGCATACGATAGTCAAAACTACCACAAAGCTCAGATAGATCCCCCTTGAAATCAATGTCAATAGAGAAATCCAGGTCACGCTGAAAGAATATAAAATTATACACAATAATACAACAACAAACTTTTAAATAAATTACAAATAGTTTAATGCATTAACAGTTCAAAATTTATATTAAAATAAAATACAATGACAATCAGAAAATAAAACAAAAAAACTAAAACTTTTCAGAAACTATTTGAGAAGCAGATGATGATTTTGTTAAAGAAACTCATAATAGAAACAAGAATCAGAATAAAATGAGGAAATTTTCAGAACTAAAGTCTGAAGGCTAAATAGAAAATTCCTCTTCAGCTGCTGGAGTGAAAGTGACAACAGAGAAACATCTGCCTACACAATAACACACAAAAAATTACAAAAGGTTTTAACTGAATGACAAAAAACAAAACAATGGGTACCATCTACAGATACGAATCTGAATGACAAGCAGTTAGAAGATAAATTCTTAAGCTTTTGGTAAAGAAAAATTAAATCTTGAATCATTAATCAAAACTCAGAGGTTTTTATAAATATGAAGCACCTCTAGGAAATGTAATTTGCCAACAAAAGACCTTTCTCAGAATAATTTTGGCTCCAGAGAAAAGGTAAACATGAATTTTTGACCAACAATAATAGGCAGTGAAGGATTCAAGTTTCTTTTTTTCAAATATTATGCTTCACCTTCTTTTAATGCAAAATGTTAAGGTTCTCTTTGTTTGACCAATATATATAAAGTTGCTTTTGTTCGCATTTCAGTGGATAACTGGCACCAAAGCTTTGTTTTTCATCATTTAGCTAAAATGTCCTTGAATATTTTGTCTGCTATTCTGATGTAGGCAAATGTTTCTGTGCTGCAGTTTTCAGGCTGGCAGCTGAAAACGTTCTATAAACCATTGACACTATGGCTCAGTAAAACTTACATTGTGCTGATTCTTGTCCTTCATTAGATTGTTTACATTTGCCAGGGTGGTCACCCCTTGTACACATTTGTTTTTCCATCTCTTGATACCTAACATTATACATAGACTGCAACCTACATCAAAACTTGTCAGTGTCAATGCATAAAAACATCTCTCTACAACTCTGAAAATATGCATGTAAGGTATATGATGTATGATGCATATATATATATGTGTGTGTAAGATAAAATTATATGAATCAGAATTATAATATATCTATAAACATTAATTCTTCCTCTCTATTCTAAAATCATTATAACTTCTCTGCATTGTGTCATTTCTAGATCACTCTATGGCCCGCACAGCTCTGATGACGTAATAATTGGAAACTAAAACTGCCTTTGTAAACCAAAACTTTTCTCTTCACCGTGCTTCCATCTTTCATAACTACGCACTTCAGCTTTTTCTCTCTACTGTGCTAACATGTAATTTTGCTGGCTTGCTTTCTATTTCAACAATATCAAAAATGTAAATCTTCTGTGGAAAGGCACGACTAGAGTGCCAAGTAATTGTGGCCACAAATATCAATTGGAAATAAAAATGGAATTAAAACTGCCTCGGCTGCCAAGTTCTTTAGATATTACCAAGTTAGCATTACTAGCATAATGCACAATCAAAAATCTTCTTCAACATAGGTCTAATCACGCATCTACAGTGTTCCGTCCTTTCCTTTGCTTTTTTTATGACAATTAAGCCGGTAGGATAGTTTCCTGCAGCCTGAAACCTCAATCGAAAATTTAGTTCAGCTCTTCAAATCATCGTTTTGTGATAAATCCAAGATAATGTGAAAGAAGTGAATCATCAAATTTGTTTTTTCAGTGTTTAAAAAATAACAGATCATTCTTCTGCTATGGTGTTTTTCAAGTGCTTCAAAAAAAAAATAATAATCACGCGTAGTGTTTACAGATTGAAAGTAATTTCTCGATAAATTGAGAAGTTCGAATGCCTAATGAAAAGGAAATCATCAGTGAATTACCGTTTAGGAATTAAGCATTACAGCGGGTTCAAGGTCGATCTGACTTGGTGTTTGCAAGTATGTGCGACAGAAAATTATTTGCACTTTCGCTTTTTCAACCGCTCAAAAATTATTACATTCGTGTGAATCTAGCTCAGGAACTAACTTATTTAATGTGCTGCGGATTCTATAGTTTTTTTATTTCAACTTTGGTTAAAATTTCTGCATTTGTTTTGAGAAAATCTGAAATTCTTGTTCATTAATTTTTCTAAATTTTCATAATTATGTGTGAGCAAATTAAGAACGAATTTTAAGCTATTTAATTATTCACAGGAGGATATTAAGATAAGTTTTTAAAATTTGTTTTTGAAATTTTGTTGAGAATTTTGAATACGAATTTTATAATTATTCTAAAAACTAAAGTAGATGTTAAAATAAGTAAAATTAGTACGATAATAATATGAAATTATGGTAAATGCATGTTAAAATTTATGGGTGATTGTATGTTAAGTTTTTCTGTCGAGGGAGTACTGGGTTCCTAGTAGAGCTTGTAAATACCTCTGTACAGTTGTTCCTTCCCCTCTTCAGTAAGATAATGTTGGAGGCTCTCATTTTTATGTGTGTTGTAAATTTTTATTATAATTATTATATATTTTTTTTTTATTATGGATGTATTCGTGCAGTTCTCAAAGGCCAGTTACCTTATGCAAGGAACAGCGACCTTTTCAAACTGTCTAGGCACCCTGGGTCACCAGTGCATGAACACCTGTTTAGCTCACGGGACAGCCCTTATTGATGGATATGTTTGTTTAGAAGTATTACGAGGCTTCCAGTTTGGTAAAATCAGGAATTGTAAATGAAAGATGATAACGGTGAAACCATAAATTCTGAAAATCTTAATCCCATTATTTATGATGTTAAATTATAATTTATCAGTAAAGAAATAAGTATCAAAAATATTTATGTGCATTACATTTAATTATAAGTAATGATTATGTTTGCGCCTGAGCATCTGTAATGTAATCCACGCATGCACATCTGTAATGTGATGATCAGACGAGTTTGAGAATCGCCATCGACGGTGTGAGAGGGCTGGTCACAGCTATGAGTTAATTGTAATTAATTATGAGAATTAATAAAGAATCGAACCAGCGAATTTATTTAGTGTGTGTTATTTGGGATGAGACCCAAACATATGTGGTCGTAGTCGACCGGAGCACGAGTTTTGTGCGTGAATAAATAGTGTTTCGTTTTTGAGAACACAGGGGTGTTGTGTTTGCCAGTATTCCCAGCTTGTTCTTTTCAACGAATATCGCTGATTTTGGATACGGATATTCATCAGAAGTGAATCACTGCAGAGGTAAGTGATTCCTCTCTTGTTAATTCTGTACATTCTGTGCTTGTTCTGTTATAAATAACAATGTTATTTAAGGGTGCTAAAAAAGAAGATTTAAGACTTATTGCCTTAGAAATAAATCTAAATGTTGACGAAAAATGACTATAGCAGATTTGACTGATATTATTGAGAATAGTGAAATTTTTAAAATTAAACAAGATTTAGTAAAGAAATAGCAACTCTATTATCGAAAATAGAAAACAGGAAGAGCAAAAACTTGTCGGTTAAAAAAAATAAAACTTGAGAGATCAAAGAATGAGTTAGAGTTGGCTAAGCTTAAAGCAGAAACTAAACTTGATGTGTAAGCGAAACCGAAACAAATCAGAGCCACTAGATCAATTATAAAAGTATCAGAACCTTAACTGTAAAAATTCCTATATGGCCTGAAAGTTGGGGGATTTTTCTTTTCGTCATTAGAACGAGCGTTTATTACAAAAAATGTTTCGGCGGACTATAAAGCAAATTCTTTTAATCTGTTAGGAGACAAAGCTTCGAATATAATAACCTATTTACATGATAAGGATATCGCGAATTATGAAAGAGTAAAAGAAGTAGTTCTAAGGAGTTTCAGCCAACACCATATTCGTGTTTAGAAAATTTAGAAAAACTGTTAAAACAACAACCACATGAAACTCATGTGCAGTTTGCTTCACGCTTAGTAACTGCCTGGGATTATTATTTAAAATTAAGAAAGGTAACTGACTTCGAGACCCTCAAACAACTAATAGTTTCAGATAGGTTATACCAATCTTTAGATACAGGAACAGCTTCTCATATTGCAGTGAGGCAAAGTGATTCATGGTTTTCCCCTAGTGAGTTAGGTAAAGAAATAGATTTATATTTCACATCACGAGGAAAACCTCTTACTGAGAATTATCATATTAATTGTAAGTATAATAGCTCAAAAAGTGTAGCTAAAGTGTTTTTATCAGATGTTAAAACAGAGAATTGTATTTTATGCCACGAGAATCACGGATTGGCAAAATGCCCATTGTATTTAAAATTACCGGTACAAGAAAGAGTACAGGTTATGAAAATCTAATAAATATGTTTTAACTTCACACATGCATTCAGTATCAAATTGCCCATCGAAATTCTTGTTTTTGTCAAAAATGGCACCACAAAACTTTCACTTTCCAAAAGCAAATAATATCGTAAGGAGAAAGAATGTTCTTCATCGAAACAAATGTATCTGACTGCAACATCCCAAACGAGAATACTCATTGACCTGAATGTTAAGGGGCAGGAGTCGTTCAAAAGGCATTTATTAGCAATTATTCGAATAAACAGAGTACAGTTCTGCTTTCAACAGTCGTTGTTTTCCATATAAGGAAGGAAGGAAAACACAGAGTGAAGTGTCTGCTGGACAGAGGAAGTATGTCGAACTTTTTGACACGGAATTTGTTGAGCATTTGCAGTTAGAGAAAGAAAAAACAACATTTCCGTTTCGGGAATAAACGATGCTACTTTAACAATAAAGCATAAAATTAATGCTCGATATGCGATAAAGAAGGAACTTTTATAAAAATTGGATTTTTAGTAGCAAAAATACTGCTGATTTAACACCTTCGCGCAAAATTAAAATTCGTGCAAGATCTTCCTAATTTAAAATTAACAGATGAAGGATTTAATGTCCCAGAAAGGGTAGATAGTATGTTGTTGAGAGCAGGAGGTTTTTTTTATGAACTTTTGAAACCGAGTCAAATTTGAATGAATAATCCTGATCTTATTTT